TAGATGGTAACGTGCCTCCTGCTTTCTAGCAAAGTGCCAGAGGAGAGGAGAGCTGCCACAAGGTATGGGGCGAGCATGGCTCAGGGACCTGGGGGGCCTGAGCTGTGTGGGGAAGGTACCAGGGAGGATGGTGGGCTTTTGGAGGGAGAAGTAAAGAAATGCAAGGCAGGGGAAGAGCATGGGATCCCAGCGCCGTCTTGTTCAGCAGCTTCCCCAGCAGGGCAGTGCTCCTGCAGGACAAATCCCTGACCCTCAGCCAAATCGGACCAGCTGGAAACCGAAGGATGAGGTGGGCAAACAGGAGGTGCTTTCCCTCACCCTCGTACTCCACACCAACCCCCCAGCACAGCAAAGATTCACGCCTGTATACTCTCACAATAATGTGCAGTGCTGTGATACTCCCTTTTGGTGCTGCCGGTGTACAGGCTTCCCGTGGTGCTGCCCAGCTCTGCTCCGTCATGACTGGAAGCAGCACAGAAGGCCCAGGTTTTCTCCAGGGAGATTAAGTGCCATCCTTGTCTGGGGCATTTCTTACCAAACTGCTGTTGGTTATAGAGCCCTGGAAGTTTGTTCATTCTGTGGATGTCGTTCCTAGGAGCTTTATTTTGTCTGGGCGTTGTGCAGGGGCTCAGCCCAGAGCTCTGAATTCCTTTGGATGGCAGGACAGCCAAGACTTGAATGTGGCAGTGCTGAGCATTTTTGCAACTTGTTCTCCCTTATAAATTTTACCCTCTTATCACTGACAGTCAGCGGAGCCGCGCCGTTAACTCAGTAGCAAGAGGTTTGTGTTTTTGGAACGAAATATTCCCATGCCACTTGTATGTGGCTTAGCTGGTGACAACAAAGCTTTTATCTATCACGGCTCTTCTAGATAACGGGTCCCTTCGCCATTGTTTCTGCTGAAATGTCATCTGGAGTTTCTGTACAGATGTTCGGGGCTGAATTCTGTCCCTGGTTGCTCATCAGTCCGATAGGTTGTTCTTGCAGAGCCGAACAAAGGCACAGCAGCTCGTGCTGCATCCATCAGCGCAAAACCTCGCTGGATGGAGCTGCCCGCTGGAGGTGTGCGTGCTGCAGGCATGAAAATCCAACTTTTGTTCATGTGGCTCCTTTAAGCAGGCACATCGTTGCCACCGTGCCCTCTTCTGTGATGTTAATACACAAGATTGAGTAGGGGCTGAGCCTGGGCTGTCCCGCAGTGGTAAGCTCTTCGTAGGTGGTGACCTTCCCTGGCGTTGCTGTTACGGAATTTTGATCCTGCTTGGTGTAGAGGAACGGTGTTAAACTCTTTGGGATGTTGCTGTCAGACCGATGTTGCTTGCTGACATGATTTAGGCCTTGACTCTTTTGATCAACAGAGAGATGCTGATGTTCTTGCTCAGGGAATGGCACTCTGCCAAGCTGAAATACCTACCTAGCACTCTCAAAGCCGAGCCGCTTTTCGCTTCTCCTTTCATGAGTCCTCTGCTGTGTTGGTCCCACAGATTGTCAGTAGCCCCATGCCCCTTGGATCCGCCTCGCTACAGTGGGGAACCACAGAGAAAAATTCACCTCCATGCGGGGAGTCAGCACAAAATGGAGGTACCGCTCGACCCACACTCAGAACTGAAAAATCCTCCTTTAAACGTCGCATAGGCTGCATGCTAAATCCCGTACAAAGGTGGTTTTCCCACAGAACATTATGCACAGTCTAAAATTGTCCTCGGTTACTCGAAAGCTCAAAGGAGTTGCACCAGGCAGTTGAAAGCGGGATCCGGCTGTTTGCAAACAGCAGCGCTGTCCTTTGGGATGAAAGGTGCTTGAGAAATGAAACGTACCTTATGACAATTACAAAAAAAATCCCATCTCAGTGTTTCGTGGGATGGTGCTCGAGGTCACACGCATGCAGAGAGGGACAGAAAGAGCCCCTGGCAGGGGCGTTTTCATGAGGGCCCAGCACTGACCCGCACGGAGCGAGGATCCTCGAGGTACAGATGGAGGGAGGAACAGGATCAGAAAAACAGAACTGGTTTGAAGTTCAGGTGATGTAAAGTGGTAGGCTGGAGTTCAAAGGCAGGATTATTGGCTAGTGTTGCTTTAGTAGTTGGTGGGGGAAGAGCTTAAGGCCACAGCGTTACTGCATTGCTGATTTATCAACACAGCCAACACTGTGTATGGCATTAGAGTCGCTTCTAAATCCAGCCGCTGGCAATGAAAAGCACATTTAATCCGTGTGTTAGATTGTTTGAAGAGGTATCTGTCTCCTGGTCTCTCCCCATGGTTGTGATTGCTGAAATCGAAAATGAGGTGAGAGAGGAGACTTTAACCATTTCGCAAGCCCTTCTCCCTTTGAGGGAGTCACGTCTCCAACAGCATCTTTATCGCTTGGGATATTGAGAAATGAAAGGCTCTCTCCTCTCATGCCCCCTGCAGAGAGAGCCCCCACTGTCTCTCCTGTCACTAAGGAGCAAAAACCAAGTACGGGATTTGTATTTAAGCAGTTTATTGTTTTTAACTGTTTGCTTTTGTTTTGTTTGTTTTGTTTTGTTCTCTCAAGCTGAGATGAATGCTCTGCACTTAGGAGTTGCTGGGTGCTTTTGCACTCCTGGCTCTGAGCTCTCTGCAGCAGCCCACCCCTGCAAGATATAATGCTGAAATACATCCCTTATTAAAGTAACTTTCCTTGGTCTTTTACTTCAGTTCTCTTCCATGGAAGAGTATCATTGTCTATCCAGTTCCCTCAATGGTTAATTCCACCCCTACTTAATACCCTTTCGCTCTGTTAGCGTGCAGGTGGCTCACGCAGACTGTGGGGTGTTGCAGACTGGAGCTCCAAGTACGGCAGTGCAAGAAGAGAGGACAGTCCTCAGAGCAGGTCTGAGCTGCACCTACAGAGTTACACCAGTGCCTCGAATAAGAGAGGGGCAATCAGAGGCCAAGCTTTATCTATATTTGCAGATCTGATACAGACAGTGCAAATAAGTAAGAATTAAAGAGCATCAGTGAGTGGATGGTGAGAAAAGGAGGTGAAAAGGTCTAGGGAACAACCGAGAAGCTCAATAATGCGAATAAAGCACGTTGGTAAGGTGCTGCGATTCAGTAGTAAAGTGTTTGACAAAACTCCAGGCACTGGGCTGGAGTATGGCAGGTCACAACAGCCGCGTGTGCACCAAGCCACCTGGGAGGCCTCAGCACCGAAACAAGCCCGGCTGCTCCAGGACAGGTTCGTGCTTAATGGGCAGAGCTGCCTGTGGCTGCTCACCAATTTGTTGCGTAGCTCGCATCAGTCACATGAATACAAATTCACCCGCAACAAGCAGCAAAAAAAAAAAAAAAAAAAAGAGGGTGCTAACGGAATCCAAAAGAAAGCAAGTGAAGATTTTTTTTATTTTTTTTTTTTCTGTTAGAAATGAGATGTAACAAATCTCAGAACTAATCTCCAGTGATGCTGTGGCCCCTCTTGTGGATTGCTTTATCCAGGCATCTTTTGTCAAGTGCAAAGGGACTCCGCTAGCAGGAAATACACAACTTAGCCAATAAATAACCGCTTTTATACAGTTAACATGCACAGAAGCCAGCTAGGATTTATTGAAATATCAGGCTAAGCATTAGCACGCTCACTGCCTGCGTAAAGACACCCAAAGAGTCCTTGCTGGCGAGGCAGGCATCAGGCAGGAGGGAACAATTGGCCTCTGTGGATCAAACCCTATCTGCCACCAGCTCGGTCAGCACTGGTGGCACTGACAAGTCAGTCCCCCCAATGGTTTGTGACTGGTTCCCAGCTAGACTGGCTATCCTGATCAAATCTCCTGTTTGTTTTGTTTTGTTTTCCCTCTGAAATGTTTGATCTTTCCATGCTGGCGTTTTTCCTCTTGAATCCTAGTGCCATCTCAACAGCCATACCTCTGTCTGTAATTTTCACCTTTCTGACCTCTCTGTGTATTTCCTTTACTTTTGTGGGAGGTGAAGGTTGGCAATGGAGACTTTGGCTTCAGGATCATTGCTCTCAGATGAACCTAGCTTAGTCACCATTAAAGCTACTTCTGTGTTAGAGCTGTTGGATGGTCTTCACAAGCTGGACTGTGAGAACATCCTCCAGCAGCACCTTTGATGAACGTGGCACTGCCTAGCTTCTTCTTACTTTGTCACTGTCAGCCTCACTGCTGGGCTGCAGGGTCCACAAGCCAGCCATGGGAACCGAGTAACTCTCTTGCTCATAGAAGTGGTCCCGAGTTACATGAGCAGGAAGTGGTGAAGAAGCAAAGCTCGTGTTGCTACTTCCCCTGCCACATGTGCTCTGCTGATGAAAAGCAGGCTTTGGTTTGCAGACTGTCTGGTACATTTCAGGCTCCTAGGTTATGAACGCTGAGGAAGGGTAGGTGCATGCCTTAAATTTGTCAGTGCTACAGTTTCACACTCTGTCGACTTCAAAACAGGGACTAGAGTCTTTCTGCAAACAGTTTTTCCTAGCTGAAAGTTGTGGTTAGCCATGCCAAGCCATCACAGAGAAAAGTCTCTTTCAACCTTCAGAATCATGGACTCCATCCAAGAAAAAATTATATTTATTGCAAGCTGTTCATTTTGTCCACAATTTGTCTCTCTCCTGAGATAAAGAGTTAGTCATTGCAGAGGGCAAGTGCATTCTTCTCTTGCATGACAGAATCACTTGCTTTATTGGGAACTGTGTCAGAGTGGTCCTTGGTCTACACAGAAGCTTTTCTCTGCTACCAGCTTATTTGGGTGATGTGTGCAAACTTTTCCATGAAATTGCTGCGGAGGAAGAGATCTGTTGGAATGAGCTTACAGCTGGATTCTTTGAATTACTTGATCAAGTTACATCTTCTCGGCCATGCCATCTCTTCTGCCTGCTAACGTCTTTCAGTGTCTAGTAACTACCTTCTTCTGATGGTAGGTGCATTCTCAACAATGTGCATATCACAGCATTGCCTATAAGCTTTCTGTAAGCTAGACTGAGCAGTCCCAGCAGCTCACAGATGCTGACAAGCATATACTTCTTCCAGCTCTGCCCTGTCACCGAGACACAGCATGGAAGCCATCGCCAAGTTTGACTTCACTGCTTCTGGAGAGGATGAGCTGAGTTTCCAGGCTGGGGACCTCCTGAAGGTAAGTGCAGCTCCAGGCATGACTGAAGCTCAGTGCTGAAATTCTGCCAGGTCTTTCTGTGCTCCCATTTGCCTTGACAAAACAGATGAACGCAGATGTCCATAAACTGGGATAGAAATGCAGTGCACTAGACATCCATATGACTTGCTACAAATCAACCAGCAGCTCCCAGGTCACTCCCCAGTCTGTGTCCTCTCCACTTGATTTAAGGTACCTAAACTACAAATGTAGTTGTCCTACAGTCCTCCAGTAGTCAGCAAGGAAGTATCTTTGCAGGGGAAGAGATCCAGGTCTTTGGCTGAACACATTTTGAAGATTTGGTCTGTTTTCATTGACTATATAGGTAGTCTAGGGTGACTGTGTTTAGGAAGACTTTGTCTAAAGGTAGACAGGCTGAGTGTGGGCCAGACAGATGGCTGTCTTCCTTATTTCCAACCATTAAACTGTTAGAAATGATAGTTGTCATACATTGTAGAACTTATATGTAACTTTTCACTGTAAGTAATCACTGTTAGTTGCCACAGGGGTTTTAGGCAATTGCAAATGGAAGAGGAAACATCCACAAAACAGTCTGTTATACACATAATGGAAGAGTTTAAGAGGTCCTTAGCTAATAATGTTATATACACCCTGCAGGAATTTAGCAATGAAAGAACGGCAGACTGGCAGAAGTAGAGTTGATCATATGCAATACAGGGCATGTGAGAATCTCTTTAAGGTTGTTTGGCTTATGTTAGGGTAGAACAGTTCTTGTTAACCCTCCTGAAGTCCCGTAGGGGACTACTTGTTAACCCTATACCCTAATTACTTATTCACTTCTCAGTCCACAGCATAGCTATTCTGTTTTAGTGCAAAATGACTGAGTAAAACACCTCTCTAAGGCCTTGACCACTTCACTGGCCAGAGCAATGTTGTACAACAGTCAGGTCTAAACCCTCCTTCTGCCAGGAAGCCTTCACTACCTCTCCATATAGTCCTGGCTGTTCCATTTAATCGCCAGATATTACATCTAAGCCTTGCCTCTTCCATCACCACCATTTTTTATTTTATTGCCCTTTTAATCTTTGAAGCCTAGACAAAGCTGATGGCATCCAGAACTCATTGAGATCAAAGACCATTTTTTTTTTTCCGGAGAGCTCTGAGAATTGTTCTGGATAAATCACTTGTTCTCTTCAGGGTTGATGACAACTCTCATTCCTGATTCTTCCTTAGGTCAAGAGTAGTCCCCACATTCCTGGTATTTACCTGATACTTGCTTTCCAAGGAGACTGCAGTTTCATTAAGCCCCTGTCTTGGGTGACAGTGTTGGCAAGATCACTTTTCCTTCTGTTACTCCGTTGCCCTTCCTGTAAAATCACTATAAGCTAAAGCTTTTCAAATTAAATTGGAAGCTACTGAGGAAAAGTGTCACATAATGCTACACACCAGTATTAATATTAGTTGTCACTGAGACTTCGCTATCACAAAAGTCAGGCTGCCTCCTGTTTTAACGTCCTTGAGGTGAACAAAATAACACCGCCCAAGCCATAGTAACGGTAAATTCGCCTGAGTAACATCTCTCCTTCTGGCATACACACACACACACATTCATACCCTGTCCCGAGCCCCCTTCTGCTGCCTGAGCAACCTCCTGACTGTCTTTTCTGATCTGTGAGGGAGATAAGATGAACAGTATTGATGTAGAGATTAGAAAACAGGAAACACGAGGCCCACAACCACCACTGACAGGAGGAAATCCACCCTCTCTCTCTCTCTCTCTCACACACACACCCCACATCCTTCTCTGAGGGGATGACACACTGAGTGAAACCTTCCAGCTTTTCACCCAGGACCATCAGGGAGGTCCTTCTGGAAACCCTGCTGCCAACAGAGCAGGCCATGAGCCAGAGCAGGGTGTAGCTATCGTCCCCTTTGGTTTGCTGCAGCAGCAAAAAGGAACCTTCACCCAGCACCCAGGGTGGGTGAAGCAGTGACCGGACAAGCAGGGATCTCCACAGCTTTCAACTCCTCAACTTTTCATTACCCAGATGCACAGAAAAAGCCTGTGTGGCAGGCAAGGCAATGGAGAATCAGCCCCGGGGACGGTAACATCTTGTTGCCAGCACCAAGCAGCTAGAAATGTGTGTTAGGCTCCCAAACACACGAGACTGGCTTACAGAACGAGTATTATTGTTGTTAACAATAGATTTCAAATGAAGTCTTTTCCACTTGCTTTTTGTCTTTTAAAACTGTCAGGGCTCGTGCTTTCAGGCTCCTCTCCAAACCCAGAAGGAACAGAAACATGTTCTATTTTATAAAAAGGAATTCCATCCCAGGAACTGGAACGTCAAACCAAACGCCACACCATTTGTGGCAAAATCACAAAATGGTTGTATCCCTGTCCTCTCCCCTCTAACCTAGAGCTGTATCAGAGGCCATCAGCCAGGGAGCAGTGAATTTGGGCAGTCCCTGGTCAGCGGCGCTGTCCCTAAGGGCCATTCCAGTCAACATTAATGTCAACACTCGTGAAGCCGTGCCAGTCTGCACTGTGGGCTGGCTTCCTGCTGTCCAGCAATCTTGGAAGTGGCTAATAGTGGCTTTAAAATACTTTTTTGCCTCCTACTTTTATCTGCCCTGTCAAGCTCAGGGCTGCTGCGGACTTAACCCACTAAATACTCTCTTGCAAAATGACATGTGAGAGCACATGATGATACCTGTGCTGCCACAACACACACACACACTGAGGTATAGCTCATGCACATACATGTTAGAGGAGTTTTCACAGATTTTTTCCTCCCCTGTGAAGCTGACATGATCCAGTACTAACAATTAAAAGCAGCACAGAGAACTCCTTAAACCCCTGTTAAGTCCTTCAGAGCTGATTTCCTCCATCTCACAGACATCAGAGATATGCAGGCTGCATCCCCAGCCACCTGAAACGGCATTCAGATGAAGGGATAAAGGTAACAAGCAATCCGTCTAATTCCACCCAGCATTCTTCGTTGCTTTGTTCGCACTCAAGCGGTCATCAGCCACAAGCCTTGCTGCAAGGTGGGTGGGAAGCAGAGCGTATTAAGGAGTTCTCTTTCTTCTTTTTTACACAAAATCCTAGTTTTCTATCAGAATCTTAGTTCCTTTCGCCTTTCTCAGGAGATGCGTTTATTTCATCTGTCTCTCTGCTGCAGGTTTTGAGCTCCCAGGAAGAGTGGTACAAGGCTGAACTCAGGGGTCAAGAGGGCTACGTTCCTAAGAACTTCATTGATTTCCACGTTCCCCCGTAAGTGTTGCGTGCGCTGCCATTGCACAGTGCCACAGAGTGTGTCTGTGTGTGCGTGCAGGTAGGCAGGTGTGACAGAGGAAGCACTGGTTACAACGTACTGCAATTTAAGGCTGGCAAGGACTGCCATAATGCTATACACAGTTCTGCCAGCGCACCTTACTCCTACCCTGAAGCATCCTGTGTTCTTTCCGAACTGAATGGTTCTCAGTGCTCGGCATCACTCTCAAGTGACTCCTTTGTTACTGCTGCTCAGAGGGATGTCACCGGGATGTGGCAGGAACTGCATTTAGCTCTCCTTGGACAGAAGGAGAATAGGCATGATGTGAAGTCTTGGCAACAGGCAGAGTCTGAGCACAAAAGGAAGAGCAAGAACTCTCCCTATAAATGAATTACAAAAAAAATGTAATCCGCCTCCCCCCTGACTCTTAACTACATTAACTCCCTTTTTCCATCCACGTTCCCTCCCCCCCACGAAGCGTGTGCGAGTTTCTCTCGATGCACTAGAGGTCAGTGCAATGCTGCACGAAGCGTGACAGCTGGTGTTGCTCGTGGATTGACAGAGACGATAGACCAGACATGCCACCCTGCTCCCACACACATGCAGACACACACACACACACACACACCCCTCTCCACGCTTCGTGACTGCACACCCAAACACGGATCTGTCAGAGGACAGGCATACCCCCCTTCCTCCCTCCCCGCCGTGCGGGTGGCACGACAGCAAGGACTGATAGGTGTTTAAACGCTTGCTAAATGTGCTGTCCAGCCCCGTGCCATAAATACGCCAACGGGTGGCAGTTTTATAACCTTTTTCCTCTCAGTTGGCAGAAATCCTCCCCGAAGCCCCTCTAATTGCCTTCTTTTGTAAAAGTGATGCTGCATTTCAGGAGGAGGCAGAGCATGGACCAAGGCCAGTCCTGCTAGCTGTAACACGCTCATGCCCTGGGCAGGCAAACTGGGAGCATGCAGGGATTTTGTGCCCTACAAAGAAGTGCCACCTGTCCCCTTTGGAGGTGGCACTTTCTGGACTATTTGGATATGAGCCAGCCTGCCTGGCTGAGCTAAAGGACAGTTTTCAGTTTGCTCTACAAATATGGGCTGTTGCTTTTGGGCCCCATGGGGACAAGATCTCCCAGCTAATTGTGCTTGTTCACTCTTTCTCAGGGCTGTGGCATCATGCAGGGACACTAGCAGCTTCTTTTTTTTTTCACACACTTTTTCTTCATGATGTTTTCTCTACGCGAGAACTGTGAAGAAACATTTCCACTTTGACACTTTTCTATGAGTAGCACGTCTGCACTTTGAAGGCCAGACGCTAGAACCAGGTGTAGGGAAGAAAGTTGTCTCCTATTTTTGATGGGCCATTTTCCCCATCTTTGTATTGTCAATAATCATCAAGAGCAGTTATCAATGGTGATTAAAGTCTGATTTCCCTTTTGATTGTTAATGATACATAGATAAACTCCGATGATGGTAAGGAGAAGAATAACAAAACTCCAAAGAGGAAATGACAGTCTGAAATTATCAGTCTTTAATTGTAACGCAATACAGGTAATTAAGCATTACATAAGGCAGAAGACTGCAGATTGTAGATCTTATTAGCCGCAGACATATACGAGTGTACATGATGTTTTTTCCCTACTTAAAATTTCCTATTGATACTACATTATTTTACTATTTATGGTGACTTTTCTCATTATTTGTGTAAGTGCCTTATACTATCCGTTTGTTATGTTTGGTTAAATTTACATAAGCATACTTATGCATTCTGTGTTTCTGAGATTTTGTGGTATTATAACTCTTGCAAAAGCCAATTTATTAGTACTGAAACTTTCATGCCTTGCTTCTGTTAAAAATTTATGTTTGTCCCTTGCAATATATCCATCACAGTCCAGTAATTTTCAATCAGTTTACCAAGAGCAATTTGATGTATGTCTGAGAATTGTGCGTTTGTGTACATATATATACACATTTGTAATTTTAAATTTCCTTGACTAACACCTTACTCTACTGTGCCTGTAATTACACTTTCAGCTGAGTGTTACTTAGCAGGCCAAAGCTTACGTGGTTCTCTTTGCATGCACATGCTTTTACAGCTCAGAGAAAATGGTCTGCCTCCGCATGGCCAGTGGGAGTAGTCATGTGGGATCCTCTGATTCTTTTGTTTTGTCTTTCCTCCAACCTGCTTTTTCATGTTCTCCTTACCTTCAGTTTTTCTGTTCCTTAATTTATTTCACCTCCTTTATTCTTGTCTCCCTGGTTTTTCCCACTTGACAGCTGGTTTGATGAGAGGATATCCCGCCACGAAGCCGAGAACATCCTCATGAACAAAGGAGTTGGTTCCTTCATTGTCCGGGCCAGTCAGAACTCTCATGGTGACTTCTCCATCTCTGTCAGGTATCTGCTCCGCACAATGTTTTCCTGCCCCTTTTCCTGGTTAATGGTCTCTTCCATAAGTGGTCTCTTCTAATGGTCTGGCTTCCTAATGACAGGAATCTTAATGTGACATTGCCTCTCAGCAAGTTTGCATGCTGCCAGTCACTGGCAGTGCTGCTGTGACACGTGAATGAGAATGAATTAGGTATCTAATTCCCAAATGTTTCTGTCTTTCAAGTGACACGGCGATCTCCCCATTTCAAAGCTGCATCCCCTGGTGACCTGCTTCTCTGAAGGAGCTGCAGCAAAGCAAGGTGGCACACGGGACATCTCCCACAGTATAAAAAGTGTGCCTTTCATTTGTTTTATTTTCTTGACAGTGCCATTTGCTATATCCAAGAATTCCACTACTGCCAGTAGTGGAATTATTATTAACATATTTCCCACAGATCAATAAAACAGCCACTGGATAAGAATGGCCTTTTTTTTTTTTCCTTTTTACTAGTAGCCCACCTTCATTTCAGCCACTTAGTGCATCTCAGCCTTTCTCAGAGCTTCAAGGCAGAGCTGTTAAATTATGGTTGGTTTTCTGATTTTCCGTTAATTGATGTCCAATCAATAATCACTTTTAAATTAAAGTAGTGATTAGCAATGCCCTTTCTAAGCACTGCGAAGATTCTGATTCAGAGAGTTCAAAAATTATCTGGGGGGAATGCAGGAAAACCTTTTGCCAGGAACACTAACTCTGCTGTGGCCACCCCTTTCTGTGTATCAGATGCTTTTTTAAGTCACCCCTTACGGGTCAGGGTAGACTACAGCTGTACATTTGTGTCTCATACATAGGACAGAATAAAGCTATTAGACATTTGTGGACCACAAAGTTCCTTTGGCCTTTATTTCAAACGAGAGGCTTTAAAACCCTGTGCTTTGTTCTGATAGCACTTGTGACTGGCCAGCCCTTCAGCATTCCACGTTTGTAAATTGATGTGTCATTTGAAACACAGAGCCTCATCTAGGTCCACTACACACAAGGGCTACCACTGGTTTACTTTCCAGAAGTCTAGATTTGGCCAAGTGTCAGAAAGAACTGTTAGGGTTCCCTTCAGGAAAAGACTTTTTCAAAGAAGACGAAGGTGCAAGCCAGTTGGTGATCTCTTACTTTTTCAACTGGATTCAGGCACGAAGATGATGTGCAACACTTCAAAGTGATGAGGGATTCAAAGGGTAACTACTACTTGTGGACAGAGAAATTCTACTCGCTAAACAAGCTGGTAGACTACTACAAGACAACTTCCATCTCCAGGCAGAAGCAGATCTTCCTGAGGGACGAACGAGAAGAGAAGGTAAACACAAACTATCCTCAGGAGTTCCTCAGGGAGAAACCCTTTTATTGAAGGAATTTAGCTCACAAGAATATCTAGGAGGGAGATCTCTCCTTGGAAACCCAATCATATCACTGTGCTGGTGGGCCTTGCAACATAGATTTTTAGTTAATTAGAGCAGAATTTTCTGATTTTGTTTTGGATTGTGATAGAAAATGCTGCAGATCTGCATAGAGGTGCTTTGCTAAAGCTGTGCTGAGGCCTCACAGCTGAAATCCTAAGATGCCTTGCACAACCGAGGGAAGCAGGTCGTGCCTTATGAAACGCCTGAATTTCATAAGGTCTGGTACAAAGTTTGCTGTTAGGCTGTGTCTGAGAAGAATTTGAGTCTGGTTTCCTAGCGTCCTTGAATGTACACAGAGTGCAGCTGTTATTACAGTGGAAAGTTTGTGTGCTCAGAAGAATCACCTCTCTCCTGTTACTTAGTGTAGTAAGGGACGTGGAGGAACCCAAGGCAGAACCTGGTGCAGTAGCTGGTGGGGGCTGAAAAGTCCTGCTGAGGAGAACATAGCAGGTCTGGGAACAAGCTGTGCATTCAGGGAGGACGTAGTAGGTGTTTAAGAAGGCAGGGAAATCCCAGTCCAATGAATGCCTGGTTTTGTGCCAGGAGAACAAGCAAATGACATAGTAACGCCTGCTATGCGTCGCACACACAATAGTGGGAGTGAACACACCTGGTCACTGCAGTAACCAAAGTCCTGCTTTACTGGGAAACGGATTCTGGTATTGAATTACCAGGATGTACAGGTAGAGGCGAGGCAGAAAGTGCACAAATTGCTCACTGCAGCAGGAGAGTGTTATAAGCTGCATGTGGGTCATCCTTTCTGGCTCAGATAAAAGAGAGGATTTATTTTTCAGTCTGAAGGAAGAGCTTGTGTTGTTGTCTCTTTCTAAGCCCACTTATTCAGCACTTTAAAAATGCATTAGTCGGATGTAAAATAGACACTATGGGACCTATGAGAAACAGATCACAGCAAATAATAGTTTGGGGAAGGAGCAAGAAAGACTGAATTCATGTATATCTATCAGTAAGACAACCTGTTTGGGCTGACTCTGAGCAGGGAGAGAAAGGGAACAGCATTTGCTCCAAGATGCAGACAGGCAAATGAAAGAACAGGAGTCAAGTTTGCTTTGGCAAATGCTCTGTATATTTGTTATGGTGATAGGCTCAGCAGGGTATGTTTAGCGCTCATCACAGTGGGGTTTCAGTTCACAATTAGAATTTCTAGATGCTACAACCATATTACAAAATGATAGTAATATACGGATTTTTGTGCAGAGACAAATGAAGGTTAAGGGCAGTATTTCCAAAAAGATTTTGCCTCCTATGCTGGTCCTCATATCGGTGATCACATTTCCAGCCCTAGCATCACCTTTTACTACCCATTCTTCAAATGGAGGATGGGAAGATCTAAAATATGGGATTCTTTATTTGTCCTTCTGTTTAGGGAGGCAGGAGCATACCTTTGGAAGAGCCTCCAAGGTGAAGGGTAGTGATAATGATCAGTAGGTAATGATTGCTAAGCTTCAGTCAGGGTTGTGGTGGGAAGCAAAACCTGACCTCACTTTTGGGATCTTTCTTCCATCAGGAAAGGCGTGGTGGGAGTCTGGAACGGATGGGATGGGAAGCTCTCCATCTGGGTGGAGCATCTGGAGAAGCTCATTCTTCCATATCCAGGAGATACGTTGATCATCCAGTCCCTGTACTACACCAGCAACAGGTACTATCAGGAAAGAGGCCACATGAAGCCTGGGCACATGAAACATTGGCCTTGATTGCTTGGTGGCAAGGGAACACTCACTTTATCAAAATCTGCCACCCTGAGTCTGCTTTAGGAGGCAGAGTCAGTTCGATCTTCATATGGAAGTAGCAGCAATGATGGCATTGGCCTAGGCAGATCTTTTGGGCTGAAACAAATGTCAGCTTTTATTTAGTTCTGTGATTCTTTGGGACTTACTGACAAACCAACAAAAAAAAAAGAAATTAGCACACTGTAGCCCTTTCACTGGGAACCTGAGACTATTGAGCTCCACCCCAAAAAATGGAAAGCAAGGGTAGTGTCTTGTGACAGTTCAGAAAAACAGTCCCAGATCTGGCACACACAAATAGGTGGTTTCAGGAACTCCTCTCGAGTCTGTAGGACAAGTGAAACCTTGCTGCCTGTTTCTTCTCTCTTACTGCACTGACTGTCTGCACCACACAACACATCAGGGATTAGAAATGACTATGGTAACCCTAGAAAACCCTGGCTTCCTCCAAAACATTCCTCCTCCTGTTCTGGGCCCTTTCTATTCCCTCTCATCACGTTGCACCCCTGATGCATGATGTTTCTTTGCTCTCTTGGTGGCACAGGAATGGAGAGGATAACAGCAATCCTTGGTGATGTCTTCACAGTTCTTCCTGATTAATTAGGGTGGAAATAGTTTTCCCAAAAATCCCAAACACAGCATCCTGTGAGCCTCTACGAAGAAAATTAACTATCCCAGCCAAAGCCATAACACTGGGGTTGTCTCATGTCTCTTGGCAGAGACAGTGTAGCATCAGCCAAGGAGAGGACTTGTCTTGATGAAGGCATAAAATCCAATGCCACGTCCATTGAGGCAAGAGAACTCCTGTATCACATGGCCAGGGACAATCATGAAATGGCTGCTCTCTCTTCAGACAAGTAGCATTGCCTGTCAGGGGACTGATGATGGAATCACACAATCTCTGACAAAGCTGAGGATCTGCACTCTTTGGAGCACTGTCTATGTCCTGAGTCACATTCGTTACAGAGCAAAAAGTCTCAGAGGTGTGAAGTGTCCGTGCAGTAAATCTTGCAGCTGCAAAGCCAAATTGAGTTCACTCACAGTCTAGGCAGGGACAGCTGAGGTGCAAATTGTGTCCCAGTCTCAGGGACCTTTTAGGCTGACAAAGGTGCAAGTGACATCAAGGGAGCATATAGAAGAGTAGGTGCAAGAAAATCAGCAGCAAGAGGGAGAAAACAATAGCTGCTTACAGCAAACACAAGCTGTTCTTCCTCCCCTCTGTTGATACAACTGATCAGATCTTGTGTCACTGAAGTACTGCTGCAACCTGAGCTAACATGATAACAGATTCTGTCAGACTGTTATTGTAAAAAAACTAAAAACAACTTCGGTGCATGTAAAGGCCTGAAGAGCTGAAGGCACTAAGGCACTCAGCACCTCTTGGTTGTGCAGACAACAGAGAACTTGCTCCCTGGATGATTTGTATTAATATGACTTGAGATGTGCAGTCATACGCATTTTTTTCTATGAATGTGATTTTGTCCCTTTCCTCTTCCATTAATTGAGCTACTGGATTCAAAGGCCCGATCCCTGCTCTTTACAGTGTGGCGCAGCCCAAAGAAAAAGTAAAATAGGGAGACTGGATCTTAATAACTCCAGAAAGGCAAAACTCCCCTTGTTGAGCTGGCTCTTCACCTGTGATTTATAATAGTCTTAGGTTTTCTCCAAAACTCCCAGAAGCCAAAAAAGCCACTGGCCCCTTTTCTCAGTAGATGTGGAACAGTGTCCACATCTCAACTTCCAACTTCTAAGAAGAAAAATCCAAAATAGGACAGTCTAAGTTGACCTCCTCCATGAGAGGCATTGCTTCCAGGACTGCAGCACAGGGACTGTACTCCAAGCTGACTTTTAAGATGATTTGTATGAGGCTTGGACCCTGACCACCAATGACTCTTAAAGTCCCTCATTCTTACACCTCAGTATATTCATGACTTTCTTGCTGTTGTCTTTCTAGGATAGATATGGGGGGAGCCTGGACAGGAAAGAAGGGCTGCATGGACTAAGGAATCACGGCCAAGGAAGTGCAGCAGCTATGCAACGAAGACACACAGACCCCCTGCACCAGCAGACACCAGTAAGTGATATACCTGCAAGGTCCAACTCACTGGGTTCCTTATCAATGGCAAGCTGTCTAGGCAATGCTCCCTGCACAGAGGTTGCACAAGGAATAGTGTGTTATGGCTGTTGAGATATATCTTAGAAGATGTTCCTGAGTCTCAAGACTCTATCACAGCTGCTTTGAATCTGCTTGAATCCACATGAGCGTAGTTCCAAGCCTGTTCTCAAGATCAGTTTTAGTTAACATGCAGAATTATTAGAAGAGGGAACTTAGCATGAGCTCAACACAATGCGCATCCGGGGCTTTGTGAGTGAGCCTGAGCTCACCAGTGGGTCTGGATCAAGCATGTGATTCCTTGTTCCCTGCCTGTCTCTGTCTCCTTCCCAGCGAACGCTATGGGTCCGTGCCTTGTACGACTTTGATGCTGTGGAACACGACGAGCTGGGCTTCCGCAGCGGAGACATCGTAGAGGTTCTAGACAGCTCCAACCCATCGTGGTGGAAAGGACGTCTGCGTGGAGAACTGGGTCTCTTCCCTTCCAACTATGTCACACCGGTGCTCCTGTGAGGGCACCGTATGCCCCGGAGGGCTGTATCAGAGCTGCTCTTCTGACATGACCGGGACAGAGAGGGAGTGAATCTTCCCTTGCCCCCAGGACATATGGTGTTTTTGCTTTTGTATTAATTTATTGGGAATTGATCTTCTGAAATGCTGGTAAGAAACAGAACCCTTTGAAGAGGGTGGGATTTTTTTCCCGTTTTGTACATCCATAAAGGGGTAGGGAGCAAGAAACCTGGACTGTTTACTGAGACCTTGCCGGATCCTCCCTGCCCTGTTATTACTTTGGCTAAGTATTGATAACTTCCTGCAATTAGGTTTGTTTTGTGGAAATGCACCTCAGACAAGTCAGGCTTCAATCTTTGGGTGGCACTACCCCTTTCTTTTAGATCTGGTTGCACTCATGGTCCCTTCAGGCTCCATTTCACCTTTCTTTCAGAGGCAGGACTAATGCCAAGGTGAGTTAAATGATGATTGTTAATTACATTAATCCTTCAGGTAGGGATGGCAAGTAAGGGGTACTTAGGCTGAGGTGCAAGGCAACCTTGACTTTTCTAAATAGTTTTTGGCCTGCATCTGTAGTACTTTCTGTGGGCACGGAATGTGTGGATACACCAGACGAAGGGATGGGGTCCTGGAAGCTTTTGTACAAACAACCAAGTGGTGAAGACACAGGAGGGTGAGAAGCTAATTTCATGGCTTCTTCAGATAGTTTTGCTCTCCTGCACTTCTGTCTGCACCCTACAACAACAGCTTGTCCCATTTTCAATCTGCTTTCCAAGGTACCTAAACATCCTATTAGACATCCTGCTTAGAGCAGGTCAGGCTCTAAAACTACCTGAATATCCCCTGGATTGAATAACAACAGTGGATATCCCTTACTGATACCATTCTAAAACTGAGTTGGGGAGGGGATTGAGGAGAAGAGGTTTTTCTGTTTTGTGCCAGAAGTTCTTTCCCTGAGAAGGTGGGGTGTTCAGGATCACTGAGTATACAACTCTGGCTTGCCAGTGGAATGCGTCGTGCGACTTGTTGAGCTGTGACTTTACAGTGTGCAGACAATAAAGTTGTGGCCATTGAACAGTCTATTCTCTGTTCCAGTTTCTTTTAGATGAAATAAGGTAAATGAATAGGATTTCAAATCATTGCTGAGTGAATGCCAAGATGTGATACAAATATACTGCAAATGCACATTAAAATGATCCAAACCCTGAGAAAGAGATACTGCTGCCTAGCCACCGCTCATGCAAGTTTATATTAAACAAGCTGCCTGAATTTTTCACAACATGTGGAACCTCAGCAGTCAGCAAGGAAGTGATGAATTATCATTCTGGGGAAAGAAAGAAAAGGTAAGTGAAAAAACTCTAAAACCAAATCAGACTCAGCAAGAAAAATGTTCTTATCTTTTGTTAGTCCTAGTGGGAGAAAAAAAATCCAGGAAATAGGTTCTTGGTGCAGTCCAATTCAATGTAGCTGGCCTAAATAAAGCTGCCAGCTAGAGAGAGTATTAGCAGAAAGGATCCATTGTCAAGGATTTGAGAGAACTCCACCAAAAGCAGATTATTAATGGTTGAAGTAAAATAAGAATAATTAACAAGGCATATAAGCCCCTAAATAGAATAGAAAACTTTGAAAAACACATTAAGAGCTAATCTCCATTGGCTACAGGGGTGGCTCAGGAAACAGGGAAACACCATATGGCTTCCTGAGCTGGACTTGGCCCTGTTACTCTTGCAGAGGCTCTGTTCTGGGCCTTTAGCATCTCACCTTTAAAGAGGAGTAAACTCCATGTGGCTTTGTTTGGAACAAGCTACATTATTCATGGGTTGATGTGGGGGTGTAACCTCTTTGACTCCACAGTTTTGAAATGTTTTGTTTTGATCCACTCTTCTTGAACTTTTTCCTTTTTTTTTTTCTTTTTACTAAGCTAATGTCAAATTTGGAAGAGAAAGGGCTAATATTCAATCAGGGAGAGGATTAAGTCCACAGGAAAGGTGGAAGGAGAGAAAAAAAGAAAGCAGTCAAAGCAGAGGAGGGATATGAATGATGATTCTTCCATTTCTGCACGATATCTTTGTTTTCCCACACAACATCCTTGCCTCTAGACTGGCAAGACATGGGTTTGACAGATGGACCACTCAGTGGGTAAGGAATTGGCTGGATGGTCGCACTCAAAGGGTTGCAGTCAGCGGCTCGATGTCCACGTGGAGATGATAATTGGCATTCCTTAAGGGTCAGTATTGGGACCCACACTGTTTAACATCTTCATCGGTGACATGGACAGTGGGATCGAGTGCACCCTCACCAAGTTTGCTCATGACACCACGCTGTGTGGTGTGGTTGACACACTGGAGAGTAGGAATGCCATCCAGAGGGGCCTGGGCAGGCTCGAGAGGTGGGCCTGTGCGAACCTCATGAGGTTCAACAAGGCCAAGTGCAAGGTCCTGCATCTGCACCTGGGCAATCCCAAGCACAAACACAGGCTGGGGGCAGAATGGATTGAGAGCAGTCCTGAGGAGAAGGACCTGGTGGTGTTGGTTGACAAGCAGGTCCAGGAGGGCGAGGGTGGTGAGTGTACCCCTCTGCTCTTGTGAGACCCCACCTGGAGCCCGGCATTCAGCTCTGGGGGCCCCAACATAGGAAAGACCTATCGTATTGGGTCCATAGGAGGGCTGTGAGGATGATCAGGTGTCTGGAGCACCTTTCCTGTGAAGACAGGCTGAGGGAGTTGGGGTTGTTCAGCCTGGAGAAGAGAAGGCCACGGAGAGACCTTACAGCGGCCTTCCAGTGCCTGAAGGGGGCTACAGGAAAACTGGAGAGGGACTCTTTGTCAAAGAGTGTGGTGATAGGACAAGGGGCAATGGCTTTAAACTAAAACAGAGTAGGTTTAGATTACATATGAAGAAGAAAATCTTGACTCTGAGGGTGAAGAGGCACTGGCACAGGTTGCCTTGGAGAAAATGTGGATGCCTCATCCCTGGAGGTGTTCAAGGTCAAGTTGGATGGGGCTCTAATGGTGTGTTCACCATTATTCCCACTGTGTCAAATCATCTTTCAATGAGTTCTTTCTTTTTTTTTCACTAGTTACTTTTTAAATTGGAAGTAATGCCTCCTTTTCCTTTCCTCAGCACTCTAAAGACCCTCTTGATAGTGAAGATGTAGTTGCACGAAATTAATTGAAGATAATGCACTTAGCAGTCTGATAGCTTTTTCACACATTTGAAACCCCTTTACAGAGATTGACTAATTAAGCAAGCCTAAGTAGTTCATAGTAAGTACCCCCAAGTTAAGTCATGATTCTTCTGAGGAAGAGGTAAATTTCCACGTGATTTTTTTTAATTGATGTTTAAGGAATTAATACTTAAGGTAACTAGCATTAAAGGGCTGCATGCTAATTATAGACAGCACATCAGGACCACAGCTAAATCATGGTTTCCCATTACGGGCAGCACCTGATGACACCAAAATTACTAGGCAGCAAAGGTTTCATGGCATCTGTGATAACGAGACTGGTGCCATGTCCTGAGCTGCCTTGCGCAGCTGTGGCCAAGCCTTGGTCTGCGAGTCCCAGTGTCACTTTTGTCCTGGGGAGCAGAGGCAGTGCTACCTGCGGGTACTGTGCATGCCAGCAGCTGGAAGGCACAGGAGTCAGGCTGCAATTTTGTACCCTCCTCCCACAGCAGAAGTTGTTTTCCTCACAGCAAAACAACAGCACAGAGAGCTGTGGTCCTTCCCAAGTCAACGGAGCCCCTGGCGACAAGGAGGGGTGTAGGCAAAGGGGGGAATTTTGCTGAGGTGGAGGATGCTGTACCCACAGGGTGGAGGAGTTCTCCGTGCCCTGTCTTCTGCTGGAGTCTACCCACAAAACGAAATCTCCCATAGGCCAGGTCAATTAACAAGAAAGAGACACATTCCTCTCCTCCACCCCTGTATTGCTCCAACCTTCCTGCTTCTTCTTCCAGCTGGTTTTAATAATAACACAATCCTTCTTAACATTGTGGTGCTTTGCTTTACAATTATGCTATGAAAGCTTCAGATTCTGCTCAACAAACCTGTCAGCAACTGAAGATGGTGGGCCTTAAGATGATGGTGTGGTGCACTGAGCTTTCCAGGCATTTGTCAGTGTTTGGCAAAGAACTAACCCTTCAGAACACAGCCCGAGAGCCCACTGGGAAACCAAAAAAAAAAAAAAAACAAAAAAAAAAAAGAAAAGAAAAGGAAGGATAAAAGAGGAATCCAGAGAAGTGTTTTGTTGGTACTTCTCTTAGGCAAGAAAGACATTTCATGAGAAAAGAGATGGTAAACAGAGATAAAAGTAGGAATCGTATGTGGGAAGGCAAACATTATTATAACAAATGAAACAGAGGAAGCTGGACTGCACATGGAAAAATAACAGTTTGATGAGCGCAGCTGAGCTGTGCTTTCTCCTGTCAGAATGAACTTTTCGCCTACATTCTGCCGCAGATCCACATTTTGTTTATAAAACCTCTGTGATTAATACGGCTGAGCGAAAAACAGTAAATGGAAATCTCCTTTCATGAGAAAGCTGTCCAGATGCTTTTCTGTGTCACAGAACAGAGATGTCTCTGTCTTGGTGTACCTGCTTATCCCAGTGGCTGCGCTCACTGGAGCGCTGAACGGGCACGTGCCTGGTTCCCGTACGACTGCAGTGTGAGAGCACTGGGGGGGAGCGGATCCTCAGCACCAGCACGGATCTTTCCTGGACAGGCTGCTAGGCCAGTTCCCCTGCACCAGGCATGCAAAGGCATTAATACAACAAGTTTCTCAATTGTTGGCTTTGCTTTTTGTTTTTTTTTGTCTGCCTTTTTCATGAAGGTAGTTCTCAATTTCAACGGTCTGTGCAGGAGATTTGGAGCTTTTCACCACAGACACCTGTCTGTCACTTTTTCTATGAAGCAGCACCTCTCATCCTTCCTCCCAAATGTGATGCTGATGCTGCAGGCTCTCAGAAAGCCGTTTTGCCTTCAGCCCTCGTGGAGAGCAACCAAGGAATGCAGCAGCAGCAGATCCAGCAGCCAAAACCTTGTGGCTGGGAGAAATCAGCCTGGAACAGCAACGTGGTATCAACTGGGGCAGCAATGCCCCAGCAGCTGTAGCCCAGTGTGAAGGTGAGGGGTGAGCTCTACCCTGAGTGGGAAGCGGCAGATCTGCAGTTGTATCCATGCCACATCATGGGGACAACAAGGATGTCTGGCAAGACAGAGATGCGGCCATCCCAGCTAGGATTGTGCTCAGACTCTTGCTCCGCTTCCACAGCTCTCTGCCAAGGAGCCTGGGTTGCACCAGAGTAGGTGTGAGAAGCATTTGGCAATGCTGTTCCCTCCGAGGCCGCCCAGGGCTGCTGCCTGACCCTGCCTAACACAGCCAGGAAGCCTCCCTGCACCTCTCTGCAGCTGCAGCCCATCACTCTGCTGTCCCTTGATGCACCAGAAAGTCCACCAGATGCCTCATTTCAAATACCTGTTCAAAGCAATTGGCTTAGCTGCTTTCAAATGAAACCCTACAGAGATCAGTTGAAACCATTAGCGTTCCCTAGATGATCCCGGCAGTAAGATCTACTGGTTTAAACCTACACGTGGACTAAAGAGCTCCTGACACCCAGCCACTCTTTGCTGCTGAAAGCTTTGCATTTCAGTGGGGAAGCATGAAGTGAGTGTGTGATAAAGCCTTTAATGGCCCTGAGGAAGAGGGCAGAGCATCACCAATTTCTCCAATTTTTAGAGGCAGATTTTCTGTGACAGAATTCAGGAGCCTTAATTTGCATCAGACACAGAAGATGTTCCTTACATAAGCAGAACTGACAGTCAAAAACAGCCGAGGACTTATCTGCGAGGTGCAGGACAGCGGGGAAACGGGCGAGTGAGTATGAAAAGTTCACCGACCTTTGCACAGAGGGAAAATTCAAAGCGCATTGTCTGCTGTCACCGTGCAAGAGAGAGGGATGCTTGGCAGGCGTCCAGTCTGCTAACACGAAAATGCAAAATTTTACAAATGGCAGGTATGCAGGGATCCCTGTAGACATGCCAAAAGAAAATTAGCAGAGGCAACAAAGGGAGGAAGGAGAAAC